CACACACACACACACACACACACAAACACAAACAAACACGTGTGTGTATGTGATTATTTTGTTTCTTGTGATGTAATACATGAACATTGCAATAGTTTTAATTGTTTGTTTGTTTTTTTTTTAATGTAGCCCTTACATTTCCTAAAGACTGTCATCAGGCTACTTTTGTGTTCCTTGGAGAGCATTAAGACACAAATGTTTTAATATTGTTTTTGATTTTTTTCAGTAAATTGTTTCTAAACTCTAATTTGGTTTGTTTCATTTAGAAAAGTTTTTAGATTGTCTGTGATTTTGTATTTATGAATTTAAATAATTTAATATTAAATATTCATCTTTATTATTATGTTTCTTGCAAAAAATCTTTTTTTTTTTAAATTGCAGATGCAATAAATTCTTCCTTGTGTCTATTTAGTATAGAAAACGTCTTGATTGATTTTAATAAGACCTTAACTAGTTTTTTGTTGAATTGTTCCTCTCATTGGGGGAAAAACACTGTTTCCAGAGGAAATGCATCAATAATGAAAAATATTTAAAAGGCAATATAAAGATGTTTTTTTTTGGTTATAAATCAGACAAAGTGATTCTTTACATACTCCCTTAGAAGTACAAAAAAAAAAATCATTAAATCAGAACTGTCAGCTTCTTCATGATTTCCTCATGATTGTAGTTAAGCTGTATTGAAGGTTTGTGTCTGTATTTGTGTTTTCAGTGTGTTGTCAACATAAGATAGTAAGTAAATAAATAAACAAAAAGAAATGTTTGAGTGGCAAGTTAGTATATTAGAATGATTTCAAAAGATTATATGACACTGGAGACCAAGACTGGAGTAATGATGCTGAAATTGAGCTCTGCCATCAATGGAATAATTTGCGTTTGAAAATATTTTCAAATAGAAAACAGATGTTTTAATTTCTAATAATATTTTACAATATTTTTGTTTTACTGTATTTTTGATCAAATAAATGCAGCCTTGGTGAGCATAAGAGACTTCTTATGCTCTCTCACACACACACACACACACACACACACACACACAAACACAAACAAACACGTGTGTGTATGTGATTATTTTGTTTCTTGTGATGTAATACATGAACATTGCAATAGTTTTAATTGTTTGTTTGTTTTTTTTTTAATGTAGCCCTTACATTTCCTAAAGACTGTCATCAGGCTACTTTTGTGTTCCTTGGAGAGCATTAAGACACAAATGTTTTAATATTGTTTTTGATTTTTTTCAGTAAATTGTTTCTAAACTCTAATTTGGTTTGTTTCATTTAGAAAAGTTTTTAGATTGTCTGTGATTTTGTATTTATGAATTTAAATAATTTAATATTAAATATTCATCTTTATTATTATGTTTCTTGCAAAAAATCTTTTTTTTTTTAAATTGCAGATGCAATAAATTCTTCCTTGTGTCTATTTAGTATAGAAAACGTCTTGATTGATTTTAATAAGACCTTAACTAGTTTTTTGTTGAATTGGTCCTCTCATTGGGGGAAAAACACTGTTTCCAGAGGAAATGCATCAATAATGAAAAATATTTAAAAGGCAATATAAAGATGTTTTTTTTTGGTTATAAATCAGACAAAGTGATTCTTTACATACTCCCTTAGAAGTACAAAAAAAAAAATCATTAAATCAGAACTGTCAGCTTAATTGAATTGATTTAAGCTGTATTGAAGGTTTGTGTCTGTATTTGTGTTTTCAGTGTGCGCTCTGGAGGTGCTGACCCTCGTTGAAGACCCCGGCCCTCGGCAGCTCTCGCCAGAGGAGCAGTGGCGACTGGAGGAGCAGGAGGAGAACACCTTGCGCGAGCTCCGCCTCTTTCTCAGGGATGTCACAAAGCGGCTCGCCACCGACAAGCGCTTCCAGATCTTCAGCAAACCTGTGGACATTGAGGAGGTGGGCTGTTACTGCACATCAACAGCTGTATAATTAATGCCTGTAGGGGTCTGTATTCTATTCAATATTGCCATATAATTAGCAGCACCTATGGCTTATTAGTAACCCCCAGACCAAACAAATCAAATTATTGTCATTATCTGACAGCTTGCGGGCAGGATCGTTACCTGAATCAGGAAATTTGAGAAGGCAATTAAAAAGTTCATCAATATAAGAAGCAAACAAGGAGGACGGTGTGTCTATGAATACAGAGTGCGACACATTTTCCCCCATGGTCTCCTGAAGCTTTTGGAGTTTGTTATAGGGTGAAGCTCACAAAGCCTTTATATATGACGAATCAAGAACATACCATATGAATCCCGAATTCAGATTGTTTTGCAAAATTGTCATGGAAATAATGTTACAGTGCAAAATGTCTTATCATTAAGGAGAATTTCTCCTAAATTTTCATTACTGATTTGAGTAAAGGGATATATTTATAGAATTAAAATAAAATTATATAATTCATATTCCTCACAATACAGTAATGACAGTTTTAGAAAATATGCACAAGTATTATATATATATATATATATATGTATATTTAGAATATAAAAATATATATATTGTATATTACCACTCAAAAGTTTGGGCTCAATGAGTTTCACAATATTACAGTAAAACAAGAGTTTTTACCAAAAATGTTGAATATCATTTATTATGTTTTTGGGTGAAATGTGTTTATGTATTTTTCTCTGATTTAGGTTTCAGACTACCTTGAGGTTATCAAACAGCCTATGGACCTGTCCACCATCATGATGAAGATCGACACTCACAAATACTTGGTCGCCAAGGATTTTCTTGTGGACATTGACCTCATTTGCAGCAATGCGTTAGAGTACAATCCAGACAAGGACCCCGGAGGTAAATACACAATATAGAGCAGCTGGATAAATAGCAGAACATCACTTGTTATGGGGTATTCACACAAACAGCAGTATGCAGCAACAGGAAGTCATTAATTTTTCAATAAACATTGGTGAAGTGGAGTTGAGCGCAATATTTAGGTCATGTGATGTTACCTTTTATCTTATGTTGGCCTTTTATCTTAAAAACAATGGTAGGTTAGTAGAGACAGACATTTTGAGAAATTATGTATCCACAAAATTTATAATAAATTATACAGGTGTACAGGAAAAATCAATTTCAGACATTCAAGTAGTGTTTTTACTAGTTAACCAGTTGTTAAAGAACTAGTCGATCCAAGCACATCTCTAGTACTTAGTTTAGAGTTTCAATAACAGTGATACCAACCAAAAAAACAGCAGCAGCGACCGCTGTACTTGAAGCGTGGAGGACATTAAATCAATGATTAATCGGACAGACTTGTCAGTCCTTCACTAAAAGATATGAGAATTTGAGGACAATAAACGCAGCTAGATATTAACCCATTGACCTTTCCTTATTCAAAAGGCACAAGAAATCATTGTCGCTGATCTCTCCACAGAGGAAAAATGGCACTATAATGAGCAGTCTCCATAAAACCCATTCATTGCTTTAATGGACTTCTCGCTATTCTCTGGCCATACGGTCAGTCAGTTGGGACACTTGCAGTGTAGAAAATTGTCAGATATTTATTGGTGTTTATGGATGTGCCATATATGTACATAGTACACTGAATATAAACTAAACCAGAATGAAATGAGCCATGGAAACAGTGTCTGAAATTCTAAGGGGAATTTATGTAAGTTGACGCTGGGTTTTTAACCAAAAGCATGAAGGTGAATGTGTGATATCTATTTTCTCCCTTACTGTTGCCCCTTTTAAGACCTTGATAGCATGATAAACACCATCTAATGAGACGATGAGCCCTTCTCCTATGAAAGGTGAATCCTGTATGACCCAAATGTGATAACATGCATTATTTAAAACAAGAGGAGCATGTTCATATTAAAAACCTTCTCCAACAGTCATGTGATTGCCACATAATTGTTTGTGAGTGAAATGAGATAATACAACCATATATTATAATATTGTAAGTCTGCTAGCTGGCTACTTCTGATTTTTTTGTCAGGACTTAACTCCCAGTTGTCTGGATTAATTGGTCAGCCAGTGAAGGTTGTTGGCTAAGTGCAGCCGGTGCCTATGAATAAATCACAGTAGCCCATTTTCTGGGAGAACGTGGGTCATTTGTTTAAATGCAGCGTCCACAGAGGAGCCACTGAAGGAATGAGACAAAACGCAATTAGCTACTTTAATAAGGAAACCAAAAGAGGATTCTGGTCCATTTAGAGCAGGGGAATATGGGATTTAGGAGCTGTCAAAATTCCATTTGTTAAGCATTACTCTCACAAGTGAAGCATGAACGTTGCACTTAAAATCTTAGGTGTCCTTTCCCTCGTTATATAGGTAATAATTTTGTTCATTTGCTGTTGGGTTTTTTGTTTTTGTTTTTGTTTTTGGTGAGCTTCACTTCTGTCCTTGAAATGCAGTGCAGATCCAAATAGAGAATGGCAATCTCCCTTCATTCAAGAGAGTCTCGCAGTGCTTGTTTGAAAGTCAGATTCTTAGAAAATGTGCGCTTTGAAATTGTAACCCAGCTGAAGTTTCAAAATCACATCTTAATGTGCAAGTTTAAAGGTTCTTCTTATTCAAATTATTTAATTCAGAGCTGCCTAATCGTGCCCCTGGACATCAGCCTCCCTGCTGAGTTTCCTTCCAGCCCTGTTCTAACCAATTGCTTCAACTTTCAAGTCTGCATCCCAATTCACATAGTTCATACTGAAAGTATGTACTGTACTTTGCTGGGGAACTATGGGGAGCTGTATATTTCTGAGAATATAGTAAAACACGGTGAATGTATATATCTATATACAGTATATATATATTTTTATATTTTCTTTTTTTATCTTTTTTTATATAGTTGATAATGTGCTGTATATACTGTGCAGGACTCGGTGAGTAGTAAATTGGTATTCTAATCCAAACAGCCCAAATTTAGTGGGAACATAGATCACAAGGATCTAGACTGAGCACCACTGATTTAATTTCTCTCTGGTCCATTTGTTCAATTGTCAATTTTGGCACCAGCAGCCTGAGATCTTTGGGTAGGGCTTTGAAAGTCAAAATAAGTGTATTTACACTCTCTTCCTCTCAGCCTGCCATTATATCCTTGACTGGAGTAAAGAGTGTCCTCTCGCTCGCTCTAGATGGCTTAATTAGGCCCATCTTCCAATTAAGAGGCAAACTTTGCCAGATCCTGACCTCCAGCCTGTCCTGGAGTAATGAGGACTACCCAGTAACGTGCTCTCTCTTCTCACTCACACACATTTTTCCTCCCTACATGTTTGAATGCTGCTTGATTTAACGATAGAGAGAGAGAAAATAAGGATAGAATACAAATGCTAGCTCTCAGAATTTTGAGAAAACACAGTAATCCCTGTTTTTGTAAACAGAGACGCTTTGATTGACTGCCTGTGGAGCGTTTCAGCCTCAGAGGTGTTTTTCAGATATTCAAATAAAAAAGCAGATGCTTAAGTTTCTCGGGTGAATCTTAATCGATTACAGTGAGCCGTTGCTTGATTTACAGCACCTAATTTTATTTATTTGGATTTGTTGTGCATCTTTTTTAATTTCTTTTTTTATTTGTTTATTTGAAATTGTTCACTGTAACATTAACGTCACTGTCTTGCCATTCATGTACATTTTATACATTAATTTCTATTGGTGGTCGCAGCAATGCATCACTGACATTTGCGTAAAGTTAAACTCTTCCCAACTTTTTTTTGCATTTCTGAAAATAGAAGTGGCCTCTTAATGTTGCCGGAAAGCATCAAATAACTTCATGGTGCTGTAAATGTATTATGTGTTTTTTGCTTTAGGTGTGTATGACATCATAAATATATTAGGGTTAACTATAATTTTTATTTTATAGTTTGTCCATATACAGCAGGACTGCAGGATTAAGACAAAAAATGATTCTGTTATTTCCCTTGATTATGCCATCACAATCATTAATTTCAATTAATAGAATTTACATTAAAACAACTGCTTTTCAAATTTGGAGTAAATTACGGAGCTTATTTACGCAGTGTCTACACCTTGTTGATTATAATGGGTGTGTTCGAGTTTGTGTTGTAATTGTCATTTTTCACGATTAGCTAATTGCAGTGGCTGTAATTGTGATCTTGATTGTTTTTTTGATTAATTGTGCAGCCCTAATACTCAGAAACCTTACTGTCAGTCTTCAAGAACGCGGCTCTTTCTTCATCCACCCAAAAGAATTTTTCATCGACTCCGCCCTTACCATCTCATGTTGTGCTTCCTCACAGATAAAATCATCCGCCACAGGGCCTGCAGTCTGAAGGATACTGCGCATGCCACGATCGCCTCTGAACTGGACCCTGAGTTTGACCGCATGTGCGAGGAGATCAATGAGTCCCGCAGGAAGAGAGGTGACACAACACTTCAGGCTGTCCTTAGCCCAGGGTTTCTTTGAGCTAGACTGACGTTGTGCACTGCATCAGAAAACCATCACAAACCAATCCTCTTGCCCAAAACACATGTGCAAGCTTGCAGTTGCTTACTTTTTTAATGCTCTCATTTTAGACCACTTAAGGTTTATTTAGAATAGAAGAAATGTAGTTTTGTTTCGAAATCTCTCCTTATTCCCTGTGTAGTGCTCTGTTGCATTCACTTCATAGGGAACGAGTCATTTCAAACACAGCAACAGTATCAGTACACATATGTAACCAAATGTTTGGATGGACACGAAAGCATAGGCTGGTTTGTTATCGTCACCTACAGCTGCATTGTATTTTAATAAGCCATTTAGAAAAATGTATTTATTACAATAAATACACAATAAATGATCTATTATAATGATATATTATATTAGAATAAGTATATATTTATATTATGAATAAGTTATTATATAAATAAATGCATTTTTAATGCAATTTTTATTTTAAAATGAACATTTTAAATTAAAATAAAATCTAATTATATTTTCTTTCTAGATGGCCTATATGTATATATATAAATATATATATAATAAATAAATACATTTGTTTTCTCTTTTTGGAAGTATTAATCTACATTATTATTATTTATTTCTATAATTTATTATATTTATGCAAATCAAAAAATAAATGTGTATATAAATAATTAATTTAGAAATCCTTAAGGGACGTATGGGTATCATTTAGAATAGTATGCAAATAGGGATTCAGCCCTACATTTTAGCATGCATGCCAGCACCTTGTTTAACACCCATCAGCACTAACATTAGTATTAGGGGTTTAATCCTCAAAGGCACATATGTTTCGGAAAAAAAAAAAATCCAGGAAAAAAAGAGAGTTCACATTAAAGGTTATTACGAGGGTCTTGGTGACAGCACCTCCACCACCCTTTAATCACCAGGGGGCTTTTCTCTCGAATGATTTACTTCAGATTTCTGGAATTCGTTCATTTTGTGTCTGCTGTAACAAAAATCTCGCACGGCCCTCTTCTGGGCCACCCCTCGGTTCCTTTTCATTTTGCGCTGGTTCAGTCGAACGAATACGGTGGGGTAAAAAATGACCTGCTCTAGAGAAGTGCTGCTGAATATTTTATGTGGTGCAGTGGAGAAGTTATGGCTATCGGTATTGTGGTGTGTAAGTTTGAAGCAGGGCTGCATCTGAATTAAAGACCACCATGAAATTGCTTGATGAGAAAAATTTTTTTCTTGCTGTGTTGATGTATTTCCTATTAAAACAGGAAATTGGAATTGGACTTGTCCCTTTTTATTTTCATTTTCTTTCTTTTTTGTTATTATTTATTTATTATTTTTGAAAACAAAAAAGCCATGAGCATGATTTACTACTAAATATTGCTAGTTAGACGTAGGTGGTATCAACGGGGCTGGGCATTATCAATCTAGTGTGCATCTGATTGGGACAAATGAACAAGTGCAGGATGAGTCCTCAATATTTTCGTTAAATTTTCCCAGAGAGTAACATTATTTGCTGAAGTGAATTTTGTCTTGTTTTACGAGTACTAGCATATAGATTACTCTTAAAGCTAACAGACATGGTCTAAAAGCCACAAAACCTGATTTAATGGGTTTAATTTAATTGTCAACTGTGATAAAGCCCACTACCAAGTCTTTGATTTTCTGGTCACAGCTTGAATCCCTCCTTCAATGTAAGTCTATGGGATTTTTTTAATTTTAGCATCTGCTAGGCGGGAATATGATTTCTTAGAACATGATGATGATCCCCTTGTGAGCGACCATCTTTCTAAAATCTCCTCTGAAGGCAGACATATATTTTCATATATACAGAGCCATTTATACTGTCTAAGGAAAAATAGTGTAATACTATAAAGACATCATATTTTGCAAAATGCTAAATTAAATACATTTGCATTTAATCATTTAGCAGGTGCTTTTATTCAAAGCAACTTGAGGACAATATGAAATGAGGACAATATAAGCAATTAAACCAACAAAAGGGCAACAAAATGTAAGTGCTGGGGCAAGTCCCAGTTAGTCTATCCCAGTACACCTAGCAAGTAGGGGTGGGCGATATAGCCTCAAAGTTATATCACGATATTTCAAGAATATTTGCGATAACTATATTTATGATGATATATATAAAAAAAACATGGAACAACGTTTTATTGGTGATTGCAGCTGGCAGGCAGCAGCATTTATTAGTGCAAACATAATGAAGGGCATTTTCCATCCTTTGCGGCGCATTCAGGCCAAAGTACTTCGGCCGTCCGCATCCGCGCACCGTCCGCGTTATGTCATTTTCGTCATCAGGAGGGCTCGCGGAGAGCCGTGTACCCCGTCCGCGTGCAGGCAATTTTTTGAGACTGCGCGGACGGTGCGCGTACAACAGCGCATGCGCGAGGTGAATGTTGAGACAAGAGTAGGTGGTACTGTGCATATGTGTCTAGCTCGTCCGTCTGCGCTCATCCGCGGTTGAGTATACTTTGAAAGTTGTGTGGACGCAGCTGTGCGTGAGACGGAACGGAACACGGAAAGTTAAGTATACCCGGGCCTTTACGGCTCTGACGCGGCCACTCTAGTCAATGCTTGTGTTTACACCAGCGGAGCTCTCCACGCCGCTTCACTATAGATATGCGCCTCGCCTATTTTTGAAGGTAAGAGTGTTCACTCGAATATGCTCTAGAACCGCTCTCGCAATACTTTGATGTCATACACCGATCAGTCTGCGCAACGCTGCTTCAAGTTGAACACACCTATTGGGCTTGTGGTGTTGTTGTTATGCGCGCTAGGGAACGTATATCCGCCATACGTCATCACGTCGCTATATCATTGATATCGCAAAATGGCACGTTTTTTATCATGTAAAAAATTATCGTGGAAGGTATGATATGGCACACCCCTACGCAAGGTTTTCTTTAATAAATTGAAAAAATCGATAGAATAGAAATTGCTAGTATTAATGGGTGAATTGAAATATGTCAAATAACAAAAATAGATTGAAATTTGAAAACAAATCCCAAATCAAATAAATGAATCAGGGCTCCAGACTGCGACTAAAACGGTCGCATTTGCGACCAAAAATATAAATTTGCGAGTGAAGTTTTTGCTGAGGTCGTCACTGGCGACTATGTACACTCTAAAAAATGCTGGGTTAAATACAACCCAGCACTGGGTAAAATATGGACAAACCCAATCGCTGGGTTTGTCCATATTTAACCCAGCATTTTTAGAGTGTATTTGTATACATAACACGTATATTTACATGTTATGACTTAAAAAATTTTCCTGATTGTTTTGCGATCATATCTTTTGTTATGTTCACGTATTAAACACGATGCGCATCAAAGTTTTAGTGGGGAAAAAAAGAGTTTCAAACAGCCCTCATCTCTGCCGATATGCCTGCTAAACGCAGCTCAGTTGTGCAGCACGAGAGAGATCAAAATGACGGAGACGTGCGAAGTGAAAGTGCAGAAAAGCAGTGTCTATTTCGTGCACAACTTGAAAAAACTTCAACAGGTAAAGCTGTCAGCTGTGTGGATATTTGCAATATCGTTTATAATCATTACTAATATGGCTTCTTGTTATCAAGATCTTAGTCTATATGCTGTGTTCTGTTAATGCGTGAACTAGCCTGTTTGCAGCGCACTTGCCGTCCAGTAATCGCAATAAGCTTTGTGCTTTGTTACTTTTTAATAAACGAAGTATCAGCTTTAACATTCTGCCAAATTCATAACGAAATTAATACAATAAATACGGTTTTGCCTCTCTTTAATCGCTTTAACGCCTCAGTTCAAGCAGCAAGTGAACCTATTATATCTTTCTCTACTATAGTACGAAATGAACGTGAATTAACATCAAAAGTTAGGCTATTTTATAAGAGAGCCTACAGTACAACTTATTGAAATGTCATGTAATCACTCATTCTGTGTCAAACTGCAGAAAATGTGTAAAGCTTATAAACATTGCCATGTAACAATACATTTACCTCAGAATAACCATTGGGCATCCATAAGCTCATCAGTCAGCTAGAAAAATAACTATAAAGATGAGCATTTTTCTGTATTTATTTGCTATTGCATACTAATATTTTTACTTAGCCTGTTGTCTACATAATAAAAAATGCAAGAATGCAAGCTAAAGATAAAATTCAACACGTCCTATAAAGTTGCATGTTACTAATGAAGAAAGTGTGAGAGATATGACAACATTTCTATAGAATGCATTGAGGAGGAGCCCGGCTAACGCTATAAGATTTGGGCCACGATTTGGTCGTCTGAGACAAATTTTGAAAATCCTAAAAGATTCCTATAATCTTATGCTAAAATCTGTAGTCATTGATCGCTGGTTTGACATGTTCATCGACAGCCGATTAATGGCCATTGCGATCAAATTTGACCTCAGACGAAATTCTGGCAGTGTCAGAAGATTTGGCGCACAGTCCTGCAGTGTGACTTCCCCTACGACGAATGTCAAACTGTCTTCGTTTTTCAAGACAAGTCATAGAGATTTCTTCGAACCTCATAAAATCCTGCGCTCCCGTCCTCCACTCATGGAATTCATATGATACGTTGCCTTTGCTATGATAAACACCAGTTGCACTGCTGTTTTCATGTGGGTGTGTAGTGCTGCTTGCACTATTCTTCTTAAATACGCCGGTATTGCCGCCATTCATATACTTTTAATGATAGCCAACATTACAGCCCCGCGTGCAATGCAACTCGCGGTCGCTGAACGTGTATGGGTTGATAATGTAGAACTCCGGACATGTTTTCTTGCACGCACCCGTTTTTAACGCGTCTTGACTGTCGTACAGTCTGACATTAATGACAACTGAGATCCCACAGTGTGACATGATCATCGTGTTCGTACAGTCTGACGAGTACAATCCTAAAGGACTTTTAAAAATCGCACAGTGTGAGCCGGGCTTAACACTGTAAAAAGCGATCAGTTGACTTTTCTTAAAAAAAATTGAGGAAACCCGTTGCCTTAAAATTAAGTAAATAAACTTAATGCATTAATTGAACTTGACAATTCTGAGTTACACTGACAAATAACAGTTTGAAAATGTGTTCACTCTTTATTTTAAGTTGGACTAACTTAAATTTAATCAATTGCAGTTACTTAAAAGTGTACACTCAATGGCCAAGTGATGCTTATTGTCCATGATATTGGTACAGATTCTGTGTAATAAACAATTCTTTGTGACTGTATATTTCAAGTTGGAAAAGACGTTTAGTTCCCACTTTAAGTGAACCTTAGTTCCCAGGTCATCTACAAGATGGATTAAAATGCTGATAAAGTCAAGAAAAGATTAGACATTAACACATGAAAGTATGATTGAAATGTCAAAATGTTCAAAAAAATAATAAATATAATAATATATAATAATCTGGCGCCTAAGTTTGTTCTTATAGGAGCCAATGGCTCCTTACTCGATTTTTTTGTCTGGAGCCCTGTGAATAATGCAAATAAAATAAATATTTTCATATAAACAGACTAAGACTTTGCCTGTGCTCTTTCCTAGCTTGATTTTTCCCAAGAAATATCAGCATGTCCACATTTTCCAGCAAAAAATTTACTTTGTACAGAAAATTCATTTGATGCAAAAACAGAACGGTCTGACTTTAGTTTTGTAAAATTATGCTACATAAAACTACATAAAAGCAGACAGACTGAATGAGAACCAAATTCACTCTCTGGCCCTGCGTTTTCATTTTAAAATGGCGTTTTAAAATGAAAACGATCCTCATCTACACTGGCGTTTTCACTGTGTTTCAGAAACGTTCTCCGTCCACACTACACAACCGAAAACGCATGTCACATGACCATGCAGATACAACAATGAGCATGATGTTATTGTTTACACGGTCTTCAAGGATGCGCAGAGTGAATGTGAGCAGCACGCCATCGTTTTCAAAAGTCTCTGTTTTGTTCCGTTTACACTGAAACGCAACCCCAGAGTTTTCCAACTAAAACGGGGTCTGCAGCGTTTTCGAAAGTCTCCGTTTTCAAGGGTCAAAAACGCCAGAGTAGTGTAAACGACAGGCGTAACTTAGCAAAAGTTATGCATTTTAAAACGAAAACGCACCAGTGTAAACGTAGCCTCTGACAGCAGGTGGCACTTATGGAACAGCAGCGATATAGCGTTTCTTTGGTTACCACTTTAAACAAAACAGCGCTGCGCTTATAAACACTACCCCAATTGTATCGTGATTCGTTTAACATCTCAACTGACTTAAATCGTCACATATTTTCATTGATTTTCCACAGGCTCAGGGTGCATCGTTACCTCCCTATTTTTTTCTCTTCACTCTGGGTCTAACTTATGTTTTCTTGTTCTCCCAGCCTCTCAGACCACACCGCAGCTGCAAGTCCCTCCAAGCGCCACGGCTGCCAGGAAGCCTGTGGGTGAGGAGGTGGGGTTAAACAGTTCTCAGGGTGACGGAGTGGACAAGCACTGCAGCAGTGAGTACATGCAGAACACAACAGCCAACAACAGTGATTGTCAAGGTCTCTGCTCTCTGTGCGGCAGCTTTTAGGCTAGACTATTTCCAGGTGATCGAACAAGCTGTACTTTGACTCAGCGTGCTGAAACAAGCCTTGCACGGTCCGACACTTCTGCTAACAGCTCTGCCTGTGAAAGGAGTCCCCCCCAAACCCCCCAAAAATGATCTTTGCATTAGATTATCAATACATTATTGTGAGGGGAAACGTTTTTTTATTTATACAAAAATAAAAGACTTATCATAATATATGTAAACATTATTTTAATATTTATCATTTTATTTATTTTTCCCTTGAATATTAATGTGAAATTTTTTAAATATTTTTTGACATTAGCAATACAGTATTGTGAGGGGAAATTGTATTTATTTATTTATTTATATGTTTGTTTATGGAACTTAATGGATGCAAATTTAAATATGTGACCCTGGACATTTTTCTGAAAGCTGAATAAATAAGCTTTCCATTGATGTGTGGTTTGTTAGGATGGGACAATATTTGGCTGAGATACAACTATTTGAAAATCTGGAATCTGAGGGTGCAAAAAAATCTAAATACTGAGAAAATCGCCCAAAAGAAAAATGTCTGAGAAAAAGTTGTCCAAATTAAGTTCTTAGCAATGCATATTACTAATCAAAAATTAAGTTTTGATATATTTACAGTAGAAAATTTACAAAATATCTTCATGGAACATGATCTTGACTTAACATCCTAATGATTTTTGGCATAAAAGAAAAATCGATAATTTTGACCGAAGTTTTTTTTGGCTATTACTAAAATATACCCAAGTGACTTAAGACTGGTTTTGTGCTCCAGGGTCACATATAAGATTGTTTTAATATATGTAAAATATAATTTTATGATTTCAGTATTTATATTTTGTTATTATTTTATTTTGGAAGCTGAATTTCTTGCAAAAATAACTATAAAATAATACGCAATTACTGTGCTATAATTTTATTTTGCCATGTCATACCACCCACCCCTAGCTGAAAGGTTTGTCTCATTGTTCATTAAACTCCTAGTGAATTAGCTTACAGATATGAGTAATTTTTGTGAGTGCAATGTGAAAACTCATCAGTCTTCCAGAAAAAAAATGCATACCTGATTGAAAACAAAACTTTCTCCAGTTGTTCTCGTGCTTCAATGTCAAATATAATAGATACTTTATTGTCTTATAAAAGCCACAGTGATAACAAACAAGCTTCATTAAGTTCTTTGTTAACAGCTTGGCATCTGTCTGGAACTCTGTTTTGGACACACAACACAAAAGCTTGTTGTTTAATGAGATTTGCTGCCGTCCAACCAATCAAGTGATTGGACTTAGAATTAGTCAGACTTGGAACAAAATGCTTTAAATTTTAATTTGATCAGTAAGCATACCCCCATAACACCCTACAGGGTTCCTGTGGTCCTGAAAAACCTGCCAAAGTGTGACTTCCAGGGCTGGAAAAGTCATAGAAGATCATTGAAAATTGAAGCAAATTTCTGTTGCATATGCATTTTTCTACTTACGTTCTGTTAGAAACAATTTCTTAGATTAGAAATTATTCTTTGTGAGTGCGGTCTCTGTAGAACTTCTGGAAGGTTGTGGAAAATCATAGAAATTAATGATCCTTTTTATGGTTTAATTTTTTTTAATCATAGTTTTGTGCTTAGTGAAAATAGGCTAATAATACATCTCATAGTCCCTCTGCTATTGATATGCACAAGAGTCAATCAGCCAGGATTGACTCACAGCATCAGAGCAATGCCCTCTGGTTGCACTCCCTCACCTCCTCCCCTCTAACTGCAGCAGCAACCAGGTCAGTCCTCTCCTGTGGCCGCCCGGCAGATGGAGAGGGATGCTGGGAAGGCTCGGGGGCCACGAGGGTTGGAAAGTACTATCGGCACCTACTCTGCGGCAAACACGCTGGCAGATCCGTGCAGCAGCTGGGAACATGTTTTATCACATTCTTCTCACATCTCTGCTTCAGAAAGGCTTTTAGCTGGGCCTCAAAAGAGGTTGTTGTGGAGGAGTGGCTTGTTTAAACCTATCATGCGGCCATGTTGCCAGATTGAGCTGTAATGCTGTGATTTGCTGAGAGCCGGCATTACCACCCCTGGTGCGATAAGCAAGTTCATTCTTGCAGCTTTGCCAGTGTGGACTCATTAGATTGTGGATAAGTCATCGGATGGCAGTTGTGGGATGCTTCCACATGCACTTTGAGATTAATTAGCAACTATCTCAAATACAGTGGATCTGATGGGTATTTTGGCTAGTGTAAGCCTGCTACAGAAAGGACCAGTCATGGGTTGTTTATTTTTAGATTGTATTGTGTTTTGGGTAGGGCTGGACAATAATTCAATATCAATATGTATCGCGATATAATTTTTTTTCAATAACGGTGATATGATTTTTAAACACATTTCCGATATTTCGATATACATTACCAGTTTCCCATACATTGATTTATTTGTGCCATTTGACTTCGTTGAATAAACATGAGCACTGCACATTTCAAAATCATAACACGGCGCGGGGTGTTTGGATTCAGTTTTTGAAAGAAAATAATACTTAATTGAACAAGGATGTATTAAATTGATCAAAAATGTCAGTGAAGACATTTATAAAGAACCGATGTTTTTGAATTTTTAAATTTTGATTTTTTTTTTCTCAAACAAATGCTGTTCTTTTGAAGAGTTGTAAAAAGAAAATATATATCATTTCCACAAATGCTGCACAACTGTTTTCAACATTGATAAAATAATAAGAAATGTTTCTTGAGCAGCAAATCAGCATATTAGAATGATTTCTGAAGGATCATGATACTGAAGACTGGAGTAATGATGCTAAAAATTCAGGTTTGATCACAGGAATAACTTACATTTTAAAATATATTTAAATAGAAAACAGTTCTTTTAAATTGTAAAAATATTTCACTATTACTGGTTTTACTTCTTTCAAAAACAACTTACCAACCCCAAACTTCTGATCAATTTGTAAATATAAATATATCTTTTGTGTGTGTGTGTGTGTGTGTGTGTGTGTGTGTGTGTGAGAAATCCTGCTCTGGGAAAGTCATGGAAAATATGTATTCCTATACAATCTTTTTTTTTTTCTACTTATACTCAAAGTAAAAGTTTTTTTTATTTAACATACAAAAAAACCAAAACATTTAACACTCTTCTACAGTGTTGTAGCACCAAACTGTCCTCTAATTCTCTAATTTGTGTCCTGCACTTCCTCATCCTGCCACAAGATGCCGTATGTCTCTCCCATTATCTGACAGACTCTGTCTAGAACTGTACAGTATAACAGCTCAAGGGAAAAGAAACACAAAGAATGATTACATCCTTGAGAGATGAGAAGGTGGCTGTTAGGTGCCATAAACACCTCAGGATGAGATGGGCACGCTCCTGTCTGCCCGTTTTATATTTCCTGCTTGTGAACAGGAGGTGAGTGAGCACAAAACTCAAGCTTTCAGCTCCTAAGAGCTTGTTAAGCATTTCATCTACCTTCCATCTGTTTTGCCCAACAACAAACACTAATTTAAAGAAAAGCTTCCTTAAATTAGCCTTATCCCCCAAGTGATTAGTTTTATCTTTGATGCTGTCAAAAAAGCCATTAGTAGTGTTTTTCTCCTCCTTTTATGGGGCTTAATGCTATTTACTGATTCTGGGCTCAGTTGACAATTTAATCTAAAAAAGAAAATTGATCCAAGGAGCATCATCAGTTTTTTTTTTTTTTTTTTTGTGCTGCAAGTTATTCTTAAATTCAGACTCTTCAAGCTAATGCTTGGCAATTGATCAATTTTGTCCCTTTGTCCTTGAATCAGACTTTTTTTTTTGTGACTTTGACTTTTTTTTTTGTGAATTTTCAGTGACGATTTTGATTAAATTCTCATTTAACTCCCCAAAATACTGTAATACAATTTGTTTGTTTTCTTTTATTAAAATCAAACAAATATTACCATTAATACTTCACCATGAATGAATAATTTACAATTTAATTATAGATATTATTGCATTGTAATTTAGAATTTTTGGGGTAAATATTCTTGAAAAATCCTGAAAATGACAATTTTCTATTTTTTCACATCATCTTAAAGTCATTAAACTTTGAATGAGTAACCGACCAAAATAAGTATTTTTGTCTCTAATAATCCTCATCTCCACAAAGTGCTAAGGACTCTATGATTTGTGAGCAATTCATTCAGTCTGGTTTTGTGAACTTGTGAAGATAAATTTTGATAGATAGACAGATAGATAGATAGATAGATAGATAGATAGATAGATAGATAGATAGATAGATAGATAGATAGATAGACAGATAGACAGACAGATTTTTTCCTCCTCCAGAATTTGGTATGAAATATGGCCTGGAAATATTCTTGACAGACTTTGTGAGATAACACCTTGTGGTAATACTGTGTTCTGGTGTGAAACTATTTATCATATGATGTTTAAAATAATTCAGTTTGTAGACATAAATGCTAGTACCTAAAGCAATATGACAGGAGAGATGACAAATGAACCATCAGATTCAGAAGCCTCAGCAGTCTTGTACCAACAATGAAGATCACAAACAAGAACAAAGAGGGACGTGTTTCCGCTGTGGTCCGCTATTGTCCCGATGATGAGTCAGCCGCCCAGCACCAACTCATGGAGACGGCAAAACTAAGCAGTTCTATTATCAAGGTCTTTTATGGGATGGCAGAAGGGATATTTAATCCCCGAGGCCGTCCAGAGCTGCTCGCTTTCCTGCTTATCCTCACTGTTATCTGATGCTGAAGGTTGTGAACTGTTGCCTGTGCTCTAAATCGGTGGCTTTCAACTGGTTTTGGTTCAGGACCCAGAGTTTACTTTGAACCTCAAGAGGCGACCCAAAACCATACCAAAATTTTTACTGTACAAGTAAAATTTTAAATGATTTATTACCATAAACCCAACAATATGCAAACATTTTAACATGTATTTAA